AATCCGGGCTTGGGCCCGGAAACCGGGCCTCCGGACGGACCGTCATCATTGCACACCGTCGTTTCACCCAACCTGTGACGCCGCCCACGAATAGCCAGCCATCACACGCCACGTGTGCCACCCCCCAACGGCTATATCCTGTCGTTACATATTCCAACGGCTATATTTCCAACGGCTATATTCTGGAAACCCCCGGGTTTTCTACTTCACTCCACCTCATCAATGATAGCCTCCGGGTACACTCACTCAGAAGTGCCCCCGGATTGCGCCCCACACAGCACATAACAGACGCCTTCGGGATCACTCCTTCAGAAACCCAAGGCTTCATATCAGGGGTACCCCTCGGGAATTCCCCCTCAGCACTGCAGAACCGGGTAGCCCCCGGGGAGTTGCCTTCATTGACGGATAACCCGTCGCACGCAGGTAATGGGAGCCCTCGGGTATCTTCATCGCCAACTAATCAACAAACAGTGGACCCCCCGGTAACAACTCCATTGTCGCCCTCATCCAGCAGGCCCTCGATCCCCGAATTGAGGGGCTCCCCTTCGGCGCCACCAGGACATCAACAGCAAGCCTTCGGCTAATCAACACAGGAGCCCTCAGAAGAGAGAGCCTTCGGCATTCCCTTCATTCTCCACTTTATACCAAGGTTTGACATTTTCGATTCATCATTGGGGGAATCCGGTGCACTCTTTTTCCCTCATTAGGATTTTTTCCCAAAGGGTTTTTCCTAATGAGGTTTTTAACGAGGCATCCCCCCAAAATGAAACGAAAAGCGTCAGCCTTCGGCCCACAACAGCAACATAACTACTTTACTCCTTTTCACCACTTTACAAGTGCCTCAAGGAGTGGGGGACTGGAGGATCCCCTCGGGAAAATCATTAAATTACAAAATTGGGTGAAATTCCAACAAACAACAAAGCAAGCCCTCAAGTCCCGACATGTGGGTAACTGAGGGACTGCCTTCGGCAGGGACACAAACGAACAACTCCTCACCAACTTCAGAGATCACGACGGGACAACGTCAAAGGGCAAGCACAAATTACTCCTTTTCCCTCAAGTACCTTTCGGCAAAAGGAGTGAGGGACTCCTGATGGAGTATATGGCCCGGGAACCCCCGGCCCACAGACTCCTACTACTCCAGCAAAGGCCCAACAGGCCCAAAAGGCCCAACAGGCCCAAATCACAGCGCCCAGAGTACCAAGCAGCCCGCACTACGCGCCAGGGGTGCCTTCGGCCCCCTGGCCGAAGGCTCTAAATTCTCACAGAACGGGTTTCTCAAGCAAATTAAAAAACTGGGAGAAAACGGCGAAAACAGTAGCCCTCGGCATTATGAGCCCTCGGCACCAGGGTGCCATCGGGTGGAAGAGCCCTCGGCTACTGCTCTATAGCCGAAGGCATCTCACTCGACAAGATATCCGCCTCACATGCGTACAGATCGCCGTACCCCGCATAGACGTCCCATCCAACAGCCGCATTAAATGCGGCCACATGCGGCTGCCAGCGCCAACCAGTTGATGTGACCCCTCGGCCAATGAGCGCTTGACACGTGTCCCTGCCCGGCATTTATTGCTACTATAAATAGCACCCCATTTCCCCATTTGTAACCACGCTGAAAACACTCCGCATTTATAATACATTCTCTCTCTCTACTTTTATTTACTTGCTCTGACTTCTCTCTAAATTACTCCCCGTAATAACCCTTCGAATATATACCCCCGGGTAGACTATCCATCATTAGTCTATAATAAAAACTCCAAATGTAATAAAAATGGTAAAAAAATGTATTAAATTATACAAAATAGTTAATTACATATTAAATACTCCCTCCGTCCCTGAAAATCCTTCTCACTTTCCTTTTTGGGCCGTTCCAAAAAATTCTTCCCGCTTACCATTTTTGGACAATTTGTGTGGTTTACATTCATTTAACCTTTTTTCTGACACAACCACAACCATACATTTCTACTTTATTCCACTTTCCTAATATCCGTGTCAAGTCAAACCGGGAAGAATTTTCAGGGACGGAGGTGTTGAAGATGGAGCCTTGTTTGTGCAGCAGCAGGAGATACCCGACCGGGTGGGGTCAGTCACCCGACCGGGTATGCTGTGAATTTGGTCGGGCAACTCTCTGGATTGGGAAACCCGATCGGGTAAGGAGGTTTACCCGACCGGGTCCGTGGAAGGTTTTGGCTTCTGTTTAGGATACCCGCCCTGGTGTCTACCCGGGTATGCCTTTTGAGGAGACACTCGACCGGGTCAAGAAGGGGACCCGACCGGGCCAGTGGAGATTCTACCTTTCTGTTTTGGTTACCCGCCCTGGTTTCAACTCGGGCATGCTTGCTGAGGAGATACCCGACCGGGTCCAGAAGGGGACCCGACCGGGTCTACGGGTTAATCTTAATTACGGGCTTAATTTTTTGGGCCTGCGGCTCTAATCTTTGTTTAGGTTTTTGTTAAACCTATTTAAATGACTATAATGTACGTGTAAACCCTTGACGCAGACATAATAATAAAACAGCTCTCTCTCGTTCGCCGTGGACTAGCACAATCACCCCGATTGTGTGAACCACGTAAATGCTTGTGTTCTTGCTCTTTAATTTATCGTTTTATTAACCTAAATCGTAACAGGAGGGAGTAGTTCACAACTGCAACTTTGGTAAATCAAGTCTACGAGTTTTCATATTCTTCAAATGTTGCATAATAGTTTCATTATCAATACTTCTAAAAACATCTCTCTCGATATAGCACATCAACCAATCCGTAAGATAGTCATCTCTCGTCTTATTGCGAAGATTTCTCTTGATAATATTCATCGCAGAGAAGGCCCTTTCAAAGGTGGTTGTTGTAACTGGTGAAAAGAATACCAAGTGAAAAGAATTGTGAACTTCAAGCTCATCCATCTTTTTACAATGTTTTTCATTCTAGTCTTTCAAATGAGAACTTCCGCTTTTTTCATTTGAGAACTTCCTCTTTTTTCATTCTAGTCTTCCAAATGTTAGTGGGTTTTGTTTTTAGACTTTTAATAGTTTTAGCTGCCTGCACATTTGGCTACTCTTTTGCATTTTAACTTTATTTGTTATTTTTTTGTTTAATTTTCAACCCTTAATTTTTTTTTTGTTTTTTGACAATTGCATATCTTTTATTTTAATTCAGCTAAAATTTAAATATTCTGTATTAATTTTTATTTATATAATTGTAGCATTTTAGTATCTTAATTATCAAATACTGGTATGAAGCGGGGCACTGATTTTTACCTTAAGTGCTACTAGTGAAATTTCGAGTCCGAAAAGGGGGCACGTGCCCCCTAGCCCCCCCCCCCCCCCCCCTTAGGTCCTCTACTGAATTCGTTATCTTAAAAAAAGTGACTTCTCTGCGATGAATATTATCAAATATTAAAAAAAGTGACTTCTCTACAATAAAAAATAGAAAGTTGACAAAGTTTAATAAAACGAAAGAAGTATGGATAATGAATATACAATCATGGTCACTCGTCATATATTTGTCATTATTTTCTTATAAATCAATCTATAAAAAATCTACTTCACCTTGTTAGTGCCCCACAGGTTTCTCTTGGGAGAAAATTTTACGAGGCAATGCTCAATAAAGATAACATGATAAGAGTTACTGCACAAGTTACGTCAATGTCTAACAATGGCGGATCTTGCAAACTAAAATTTGAGTGTTAAGATAGTAACCTAATACTCCCTCCGTCCCCCAATTAAGTTACCACTTTTCTTTTTGGGCAGTCCCTAAATTAAGTTCACACTTCCTTACTTTCCTTATTTAGCAAATTATTTACATCAAAACAGTGTCAAACAATGGAAAATAATGCCAAACAATATTTGAACAGTGCAAAACAGTGCACTCCACAATAAAGTCAAATTTATTTTCTTAATACATGTGAAGTCAAATCGGGAATTTAATTGGGGGATGGAGGGAGTGGTATAATACTATGTATATAAATTCTTACATCAATTCTATACATGTATTTTTACACATAGTTTTCAAAATTTTGGGTGTTCACGTTGCTAATCCAATTATCCGACAATGCCAAAGGCTCTACAACACTAACTAGTGGTCTTGCTTTAATTTGAAAAGCAAAATAAACATCAACTTAAGATTCATATTACTTGATCACACAAATTTAAATTAATTTCATAAACTTCGTTATTGCCAAAAAAATTATTCAAGTGTTCATTTATTATAGAATTTATAAATATGTATATTTAGAATCAAACGTCCATTTAAAAGACCACAAAATCAGACATGGACTTTAATTGTGAAACAGAGTGAGTATGAGATAGCCATAATGTTTTTTAATGTCTTTATTATTGATATTTATGAGCACAAAAATCGGAGTAAATGTCACATGTGACGTCAAAATTGTACTATTATACGGAGTGGCATTTTTTGCATTTCGTGTGATGTACCAAAAAGTAAAGGAAAACAACTAAAATAGCAAAAAGAATATGAGTGAGCATGGGTAACACAATTCCCCACGCAAATAAAGTAAAAAAAAAGTCTCACAAGATGTCCTTTAGGAATTCCTCATTTTGCTCGATGGGAATTGGAATCATCCAAATATGTTGAAATCCAAAATTTTGAACAAATTAAGTCATTTAAGACGTACTCACTCTGTCCTGAATTAATTGTCTTGTTTGCTTTTACACAAGTTTTAAGAAAATAATTGAAAAGATAAAAGTTATGGTTGAAATTTGAGTAGAAAAAGGTGAATTGATATGAGCCACTCATTATTGCCAAAATAGGAAACAAGACAATTATTTTGGAACGAACCGAAAAGGAAAACATGACATTTATTTCGGGACGGACGAAATAACTGTTTATTACTCCGTATCCCACATCCTTTTCTTAGCACTATTGACTCCTTTTTTGTTCTTCAAATCATAAATCACTTCATCTAGCTTTTAACTTTTTCAAACCGTTTTATCTGTTTAGAATGTTTTAAAGTTCAACAGTTCAACTAGGTATGAAAGCCAAAAAAGTAAAACACGCTTATTTTATTTTATTTTATTTTAATTCACAAAAGTTGTACTAAAAGTAAATGTTGTTAATATTCTGGGAAAGGCCGAGTAACCCCTTTTTCATTTCAAGTACAAGGACATTCAATCTTTGATTCTCTGCTAAAAGCCTAAAAAGTATAAACAACTGATATTCCTTCTCTTATAAAACTATAAACTATTCTTAAATAAACTATTCTTAAAACTATAAACTATGCTTTTCTTCACGGCACGTTGTCAAATGACTTGCCGATGGATCGATCAGCTACAGCATGGGTGTGATGGATTCTCTGACTTGATCCTGGAATAATTTTTTTACCAGAAATTAGTAGCTTGTAATACAATCCACAGCTGCAGTGGTTCTTTTCTACTTACAGGTTGATAATGGCTGCAAACTGCGTAAAAATCCTTAAAGGCCGAAAAAATGGCGTTATAATTACCTATGAGCAAATTGGATTTCCAAAGAACCTGCCACAAACAAATGAATGAAGGCAATAACTCTAATTAGATATGTTTATTCAAGCATAGTAGGAAGCAATGGTAAAGAGACATCAATTTGATCGTATATTGGGTAAGATCTTACCGAGTTACTCGTGAGAGGTAAAATGGTCCCCCAAAACACCAAAATCCATTTCGTACATGATGATGAGTGGTGCTGAATTTGGACTTGAAAGGATTTCATTTCTTGTCCATGATTTTTTAGGCTCTTCCTTACTGATAGTAATTCCATTCGCCATTTATGTGTGATCGTGGCAACAATTCTTCAACCTCTATCCTAGAGCTCGAATAGCTGAAGCTTTTCCTGAACCGGTTATGGTTAATGGACTCAACTTCTGCTAAGAATACACTACAAACCGGTCTATGATCTGAAAATCTGGACTCTCCACGAACATAAGATATTTGATGGAGCCCACCACCGAACCATAATATACGATCACACCTTTTATCCAGATGAGCACATTAGTTAGTGCATGAGGATGCTAAGTAGACTAAGGGTCTAACCTTAAAATGATATAATCATTTGATTTGGACCCAAGAAATGAAAAAGAGTATTACCATGCTGGTGTTCTTCGTTTCGAATGTGTATAATCATCCCCTGCATATCTATCTGAATTACTTGAATATTTATATGTAGGAGGAAAAAATATTTGTCCTTCACTCCATCCAGTAAAGACATGGCCATTTCTCTGCTCTATTCTTAGCTGTTTGAAAAAGAAAAACAAATGCAGCAATAATAAATTCATATGAATTTAATTTCAAATCATGAATTAGTGATGTTTTAAGACATAAACATCACTAATGCAGTTACCAGCAGTTAACTGTCTAGTTACTTGTTTGCTAACTGCATTGGTAATTGGTTCTGATCAGTTGGTCACTGCGTTGGTGACATTTATTTAATAAACAAAAAGTTAACATACCTGATCATTTTCCAGTAAAGCCCTCCAATTTCGCATCTCAACTAGCGTCTTTGCAGTTCGGTAAGATAGGGCAATCCGGTAATTCAAATCCCCTAGCCATACAATTCGACTGCAAAAATGAAAAAATTACCCATTATTTATGACTTGAAACCAAACAAGACATGGAAAAAAATAGATAATACTAAATTTAGCACATTGATAAGTTATGAGATAAAGATATACTCATGCTCAAGGATTGATTGAGGAGAATCCTCGTCCCCCATGCCGTTAACTCTAGGAAATCTTGTTTTCTTGAGAATCTCCATAACATCAGAGTTCCTCCGAAGCTCATCACCTTCCTTCTGTCCAGAAGTTAAATGACTGCAGATAAAGCAGAAGCTTGTTCGGTGCAAAGACATGCTAACTGAGATTGATCCCTGCAAATTAGTGCATTATAATTAGAACTTTGACCTAAACATTTCATAGGAATTCGGGGTAAAAACTAAATGTACCTTGTTTCCAAGATAACCCATCAAGCCTCTACCAACACAAGATACTTTCAGGTTGCGAACATTTTTCCTTAGATCCGACTTTATCCACACGGACATAAAAATTCCAACCATCTGCTTGCTTAAAACCAAACAGTACCTGGGGTTTTTGTCCCTTTCCTCCATAGAACCATTACAAGAAACTGGGTAATACTCATCAGGAGAGTACTCATCGTCGGATAAATCATCCCAACAGCCATTTGGCTCATAATCACTATTCCTATCACATACACTAAACCGACGGTCACCTTTAGATTGTGGGGGTGTTGCCATGCCATTCGATGATTGAAATGAGTGGCGATGGTAGAAGGATGAAGCTCTCTCCCTTGTTGAACCTTCAAAGTCAGCATTTATTTCCACAATGGGATTAGGAATAGGGGAAGGTGTGTAACAACTTCCACTTGTGCCAGGAAGGTCGTTTAATGTTTTCCGAATGAGGGCTTGCCATTTCTTAGCGGGTGCATTGTCTTCTGTCCCCAACACATTTCCAGCATTTAACGGAACAATTTCTTGAAACCTAAAGGGTTTTATAAAACAAAAATTATTTCCAAATAGTTGAAGAGAGAAAAATGATAGTGGAATTGAATCTACTCTTAACTCACCCCAGAACATATATGTCAGCAGGTGGTGAAGTATGAAGCCAATTGTCAAGACTTAAATTGCTAGGGGGTGACTTTCCGGCAACATTCCATGTGGCTACAAATATCCTGCACCCATTGGTAACACAAATATACATTAGGAACAAGCAGTCGAGCTTAAGCATATGAAATTCAAAGAGAGTAGAGGGATTAAATGAGTGCAAACCTATAGTTATTAACATCTATAACCTGTGAGGCATCAATATCAATTTTACTTTGTCGCACTCGTTCGAAGTTCCTTTTGGTTGTCTTCTCTGTAGGTTTGACAATACACAGCAAGTAAGGATAACATCAAATCGCACCCCAAACAAAAACAGTGCTTGCTTAGTAATGCAAATTTGATGGTTTAAGAATATTGTGAAACTACAGAAAAAACTCTGGTATGATAGTGAACCTGGTTTACTTTTCTTGACAGTGCTTGCCACCCTTTCAAGATATTTTTCCTTCCGTTCATCATCAACAACGCCTGAAAAAGAGGGATAGAAAAAAGAAAAAAATGATGAATTCCCGAAAGCTGTGTCATTTTCAGTTTAAAGCAGCAAATTAAAACACAGATTTAAAAGAAAGTGAGAGATTTTTTTAAGACAATGGATTCTACATTTTACTCCCAGAATGGCCACAGGTTTACCACAGGGGTAGGATGATCAGTAGGCCAAAATGGCCTGGATAGCCACGATAATTAAAAAAATGGGTAATACTCAGAGAAATGGTGGTAGTGAATAGTGATTAAGAAGCAGGCTTCCGAGACCATAAAATGAAGAACAGATCTCAAGCTGAGGCATATACCAATGGCAGACATGATTCCATAATTGGACTTTTGTTTCATGTAATTAGCAGGATTTTTACACCACATATGATAATTAGTTCATGGGTAAAGGATCACCTCCAGAGACTAAATCATCTGCATGAAAGTCATCAGCTTTGCTCTTGATGTTGAACCATTTCTTGACCAGAGTCTTGGTCCTTGAAAACTGCATTTTAAATATAGGGAGTAAAAAAGGACACCAATTACAAAATATTGCAGACTTAGAAAGCGTGAAACAAGTGAATTATTATCACACTTTCTCAACAAACCTTTGTTTTCTTGGAATTGCCATCTCTCATTGTTTCAGAAATTCATACAAGAGAATTAAGTGCAGTTTAGAAAGGTCCCTAAGATAAACCGTGTGTATATCACCAAAGATCAAATTATCCCAAGCTAATGAGAGGGAGGCGGTGGTAATTCCTTGTAATTTGTGGGTTTAGGGAGCAAGAATAAAGAAAGGAAGCTCCTTTCCACTTGAAGAACACGAGGGAATGCGATTCACTACCAAATGGGGAGGGACAGACAGAATCATCTGTTTCTTTCTCAGGCAATCAAGAAATTGCGGACATGAAGAAATTCAAAGTTCTTTGGCATCTTGGGTTTTATTATTATTCCAAAAGCAGGACAAGTCTAACCAAGAAAACTCAGTTTGAGATTATTTCCACTCCACTTTTTAGAAACAAGAAAATAAAGAAAATATCAAGCCAGGCCCGCAGGGAGAAACAAAAGAAGCTGAAATGGGCAATGCAGAAAGGACAAAGAGAGATGCTTACAAACAAGACACTGTATACTAAACCATGAGAGAGAGAAAGAGGGAGGGATAGATAAAGAGGGTGGAGAGATAGAGAGGGGTATACTCTACTCTACAGTACAAAAGAAGCCCCAAAAGAGAGAAAAGGAGTTTGGGTTGCCGGGTGGGGGAGAAAATGGTTTGGTTTTGGTTTGCTCCCTTGATGGGTATAAAAGACTCGATTTTGGGCACATCGAATTTGAAGGGAATAATGTTCAGGGCGCATTCCAACTCTTTCTTCCTTCTGCTGCTCTCTCGTGGCAGTTTCCCTGCTGACATCACTCGGGTTGCTCACGGGCACCCGGCCCGGCCCGGCCCGGGTGATATTATTGTCTTGTACAGATAGATAGCTTACCAACTAACCCCTTGACCTTGACAACAAAGAAAGAAATGCATGACTTTCCAACACTGGCCTAATTACACTATATACCGCGCTAATATGGTATCAATCCTAAGGGCTTTTATAAGTTATTCCATACATAATGATATGATATAGGCTGGCAGTCTCATTTTCCTTGTTTCATGAGATATATTATTCATACTAAATATCCCAATTGGGTAAGAATTATTGGATTGCTTATTCTACAGTATTACCGAGTAGAATTAGCATATTAAGTCAATATAATTAATGCCAACCGTGCATAAAGATACATATTTACTACTACATGAATAGTAATGCAATCTCATTCGATGATGATATATTCTTAGTTTCCAGAGACTGTACCTAATGGGCCAATTAGTCTTATTTAGTTTTAATTTTTGCGGTAATACAAATCCATTATAGTCAGGCGGTCAAACCTAACTAGATTGAACGACTCTTTGGAATAGGAGAGATAAACCAGTGGGCGTACCTCAACTGGTAGCAAGGGAGTGTCACAAGGGTTAGGTCTCGGGTTCGAATCCTGATAACTGCGATGAGGAATTACTATGCTAAAAATGCATAGGACTTCTGCAAGTACCGGGGACAGAGCCACACTCTCTATCTGTCAGATTGGGATATAGTCCAATTTACATCCTCCCAACGTACCGTCCAGTCGGGGTTGGGGCCCCTCAGGGATGGGGTGTCATCATTGTTTTTTGGAATAAGGGTACTGCAGTAGATCAAGTGTATCGGGATATACAAAAGGTTATTTAATACATTATCCGCCCCTCGAAATTTTGTCAACTTTAATTAACAAACACCAAGAATTGTAAAATAAAAAGTGTATTGTTGAATTTTGTGTAGATGATATAAATGATATGAATCACTAATTGATTAATATGGAAAACAACAAAGTTTTTTAGACAACTAAAATATAGGATAATAAAGTTTTGGGGACTTTATTTCATCTTTTACTCTTCATAAGTACGCATGTACCCGGTTTCATAATCAGATCGCAATATGCTAAAAATTTACCCAGCGATATGAACATGTCAATCGATTAAGACCTAGTATCAAATCGGGGGATGGATATGAGGATGGTATCTGATGTAATTCCAACTTGGGGAGTGATCGGAAAAATGGTTAAGGGAGTGACTGAAAGTGCTACATACGATTGAGTAAGAAATTGGGCAAAGTAACGGTAAGTTTGCACACGAAATTTTGGATCTTTTTCCACAAGTTGGAAGGTGACATTTATACTCTGAAGAAAATATTTGGCCACCAAGTAAAAAGATGTTATTCGGTTGTGGTGAAGACACGTGTGACACTTGACTAACAAAAAGAAATATACTGATCTAATCATGTGGTGACACGTGTAACCTTGATTGGAGAGATGTCTTGGACAGTTGGCTAAATGGCATTGTGTAACAAAATTGTCCTTTGTGTACCAGAACGCATGTGCATGCATGCCACACGTGTGCTATCTGGAATGTTCCGTGTAGTAACAGCCTTGGTGACGTGGCCCCGAACAACTGTCATGCTGGTGACATGGCTGCAATTGTGTGTGGTTCTTGATTGTTGAAATGTCTAAATCCACAACCGACTGACGACGCCCAGATCTCAAGAGACAAGATCGAGCTCGGGTACAATATGCCTATTTGGAAGGGGGCTACCTCAGCTTGCCATGAGTCAAATGTAAGTGATTCCTTTGTTCTGTTGACTTTCCAGAAGCGTCAGTTGACTCCATGCCCGACTAGGACGCGAGAATCGACACTGACCTCGGGGAGTGATTCGACCTTAGCCTCGAATGCAATTTTAGCATTATCTCAATAATTTGGCAGTCGAATGTTGGACCGACCTCGAGTGGGTCGAGCTTGGCCCCAACTTTATAATGACTTGCTGTTTCAAGTCACTATGATAAATAAAACCAGAACAAGGAGATCCTACGTAACATCATACTCATACACATGCATTATAAACTTAGAAAAAAAATAAAAAGTGATTTTTGTTTATTTATTTAGAAATAAGTAAGGGTGGCATCGATTTGGTTCTTTGAAAGAAAATTTGGAATCATTTAAAGAATCATTCATCTAACATCGCTTTGGTTATAGATTTTTTTAAAAATATATAAAAGAACTGATACTATCATATTGGTGCAATTCTTATATGTCATCGGTTGACTGTTATCAAATTAAAAAAAAATCGTTATTTTGTTTCAGCATTAAAGTGGTTTAAACTGCTAACAAATAAAAATATAATATCAAAGAAATAATTAAATATTTAATCATAAAAAAGTAAACAAATTTAAGAAGCTAAAAATGAAAAGAAATTAATTATTAATAAGAAAATCGCAATTACATCTATGCTCTCACCGCATACAGCAATTAGTGTAGCAGTTAAGTAACAATTATCATTCTTACCTATTGACTAGTGGTATATAACTATTGATCATAACGAGATCGACTTTGAGGATCATCATCATCATCATCTCTACACTTTTAGAAGATAAAAATATGACTACTTTTCATTTATAAAAAATGTGACAAATCTTTGTGTAATTAATACATGATATATATATATATATATATATATATATATATATATATATTTTAAATCTAAGTTCAACCCAACTAAACATCCCTGCCTTTGCCCCAACCCAACTAAACACCCCTACCTTTGCCCCACTCCTGCCCCACTATCTCATCCAACAATTCCGGTCAGCGGTTGCCGCAAAAAACTGTCGTTGTCATTGTCACAATAACAATTTGCAAAACCTAAAACCTACCTTCATGTTTTATTTGCACTATAACAATTTCCTGGGGTCACAATTACATGTTTCACGATAGTAGTGAAATATTTCATTAACATAAAAATCAGTGACATCATGTTTTTCCAAAACCTACCTTCTTAAAGGGGGTGTATTGAATATGGATTGTGGTGGACTTTTTTTAATCCGTGGACTTTTAAAAAAGTCAATGGACTTTTAAATCCATAGACTTTTTTATGAACGAATTCTATGGACTTTTAAATCCATGGATAAGTTTATTGACTTTCAAAAAGTCCATAGACTTTTAAATGCGGACCACCACTGTTGGTCGTCGAAATTTTCACCTAGATCACCGCTACCGATCTGCCCATCCGCCACGTCACCGGAGTTCCCCGTTGTCGTCATCAGACTGATCCGCCACCAACAAAATATGATCCTAGGGGACTAGGGGCAATTAATTATATTAATTAATTAAATTAGGGGTGAATATGTAATATTTAATCCTATTTAAGGAAAATCAAACATATGATCATACTTTAAGAATAATGTTATGTTTTAGTCCTACCCTGAGTAATTTCCACTGTATAATACGGAGTATGATAAGAAACAAACAAACAAACAAACAAACAAACAAAAAAACAAATAAATAAATAAATAAATAAATTAATAAATAAATGTAATTCATATAGCAACACAAAGTTCTACAAGAATAAATGAAGCATAAGAATCCAAATTTATTTTTATTAAAAAAACTCAAAATTTCAAGAATGCTCAAGAATTATGGTCATTTTATTAATGAGTAAGAACATTAATCATTACACAACTGTTACACTCATTGCTACATGTGGTGCACGCATAGTTGCAATCGAGTTTATCTTCTTAATAATTGTTTTCTTTTCTTTTCTATCTTGTAAAATTTTGTGTACTTATTTACGGTTATATATTTATTAACTTGAAATTATATTTTTATGTGTTAGCGATTTAACAATGAAAGAAAGTAATAGTTAAAATATTTATTTTCTTAATAGTTAAGTGACGACGTACCAGAATTGCACTGATGTAATTATACTATCGATTCTTATATCAGTTCTTCTAGAAACTTCTAGAATCGAACCAATATGGGATTAACGAGTTGAGGGGGAATTGAGGGGGGTGAGGTGGGGCACGCTAATGAAGAAAAAGAACGGAAGGAGAGGAGTGGGGCGAGCTGGGCTGAAGAAGAAGAAGAAAGATCGAAGGGGAAGGAGTGGCTTGGCTAAGGAAGAGGAGAGTTGGGGGGGAGAGGAGGGATGGGGTGGGACGGGATGAAGAATCGATATAAGAAAAGTTCACGGAAATCTTTAGTGAAGAGAAGAGACAATCGATATAAGAAAAGTCACATTTTTATTCACGTGTATAGTAATCACTTTTTTTTAGAAATAAGCATAGATTTAATCATATTCAAGAGAACACTTAATACATTCTCTTTCCTATAACTTTGTCATCTTTTCTTTTTTTGTTATCCCAAATAATTTTCTACCTTGTCATTTAATCAATTAATTTATGACTCTTATTATTTCTCTCTCCTTTACATAACACTCAATCACACAATTTTTTTATTTATTCTTCTGTGTCAGTCAAATTTGGTAAAGTTTTAAGGGATAGAGGGAGTATTAGCAAAACCACTTAAATTACTAAAATTGATCAAACCGGAAAATATTCACCAAATCTCGTTTTATATCTTAAAATGAGAGATTATTATTCGAGTCGTTGTATATAATTTGGCATCGCACTAATGATGCTTTTATTTGAATTTATTTTAGTTCTAGATCATATTAGACCAGATCAAAATAAACTAGACTTAATTAGGCTTGACTAGGCCAGATTTCGACAGTTGTTAAATAGATATAGATCATACTTAAACAGATCAAACCAGATCCAAATAAGAACATCCTAATAATATACTATCGTATAAAAGTATATTTCATTAGTTTTCAAAAAATTCAATTTTTAATAAAAA